AAGCGACTTTTGTAAAAGCTTGAATTCGAAACTTCTGGTAGCATTTTAATTTTCGACGGAACATCGTTACTCGTTGATTATGATCTATGATATGAACGCTTATATGCTAACCAATGGAAGCTTAACCCTCGCCGGCCGAGGGGGGGGGGCGGGTGCCGCCCCCCCCCCATAGGGTTTTTTTCGCGATAGCTCCGAACACGCTTAATACTGCTAGCTGTTAGCTGTTAATACTGTTAGCTATTCTGGCGCCGGGAACGATCTCCAACTATCTCAAGCACACAGAATCGTGATTTGATGCACTCCTTGCAAGGTTGGATGCGTCACTTTTGCAATGTTGACCTTGCGTGACGTCATTTATGACGTCATCAAGGTCATATTAGTTTTTCGTCTATAACTCTTGATCAAATTGAGCTAGTGAGTCGAGAAAGCCACCAATGGACTCAAGAAGACCTGCCGAATCGAATGATATGCGACATGACCTCTTTCGACCAGCTTCGTGACCTGGGGGTGCTGACCTGACCTTGACCTGACGTCAACACCCCAAGTTGACCTGACCCGGACAAAAAGTATATCATTCGACGCGCCTGAGCGAGGCGAACACGATGCTGCCAAAATCGCGGCTCTGCGGCCGTTTTTTGCGAAGTTATTCACCAAAAACTGAACCGTACCCTGGGGCACTTGACCTGACCTCAGAGGTCACCGGTTGACCTAGAACCTTAAAATCGGGTACCAATCTCTGCGTCTCGTAACGGCGCACACGCTCGTTTTTTCCGCGACGCGCTAGCTCCACCAGGGGCGAAACGGCGAGGGGGGGGGGGTCGTACCCGCCCCCCCCCCTCGGCCGGCGCGTATGTAGAAAACCAATAGGTCCGGCGAGGGTTAAGTGTTAACTGAGATATCATCCTTTTTCATTAGCATTGTTATGGTAGAGCATGCCTGGCTTTGTTTCGGCAAGAAAAAAGGCCTGTTTTGTAAAAAGGCTGGCATTTTCCTGCGACTTTCCTCCTCCTCGACTTTCAGTAAACAGGAAAGGCTTCATATAAAGCCGTTGAAAATCACATGAGGCCATCAGTCGTATCGACTGGTAATCTACCCTGAGGCATTGGATTTTCACACACCACCGGCCGTGGTGTCAACAAAAAGTGAGCACGTGCCGTATCAACAGTCTGATCACAGTGTATATAAGTCTGATGGTAAATCTGTGCGGAAAAAACGCCCATTATTTTCGTAGGACGCGCTGACAAGAAAAAAAAAATGGAGAGGAAAGGTCCAGGGGTTTAGTGAAACATGACCGGTCGCTGGGTCATATGGTAGCTCTCCACATGGGCGCCAACCCTCTGAGTATTTAAAATCTCACTCATGTCTTTAAATTGTTTTGCTCAAATGCTCGATTTTTCACAGGTCGGACACGTTATGCTAAAGCTGCCGTCTTTCTCCTTTACCTCATTATTTATTAATTGCTAGTCTCGCTCCAAATTAGCTGTCTCTCGCAATATTGACGAGGCGATGAATTATGTTCCTTCAAGACGCATCGAATTTCGTGCCGTTCCTCGAAACCTGAGCGAGCCACCGCTCGCTGCTGACAGTCCTGTTTATTAACAACTGTCACCGGAGCTGATAGAACATCCTGCCTTTCGCTCTGTCGCGCAGTGGTGACGATTGGCAGCGCACTGGCTCGCCGATGTCGCTAATTCTGGGTGTAATGATGTGTGACAACCACTGCCTGCTTGTTGCGTCCGGACTCGGTGCACTAAATTGGCCTGTCTGACGTCATCCGGGCGCTTTGATGGAGCTGAGGTGCGCCAGAATCGTGGCCTTTTTAGACGTCCGTGTTGAGGCGTCTCAGCACTTATGCATCGAATTCTTACTTTGCCGTAAGGTAGCCGGTGGCGTTGCACAGTATTCCGATGGTGCAATTTGTGTTCAGAAGTGTGACTATTTCTTATCGTTTTTATGTTTATTTTATGTCAGTGTACAAAAGTTAATAGCGAAATAATTGGCAAAATTCCCGCATTGGTAAAATGAATATGATGTGTGACTTGAATAAGTATCGCTCATTTTATCAACGTTTTGATAGAACGGCGTTACTTTAAAGGACGAGGCAGGCAGGGGTGGGGGTGGGGGGGGGGGGGGTTCGTATCATAGTGAGGTGCCTGATCACGGAACATGTTTTCATTCTTAGGGCAGCAATTATTCCACTCGGCGTTAAATAATTTCCATTGAAATTTAATCAAAGCCTAAACAAATCCACGTATTGGCTCCAGAGGATGACCTGATTCCTTTAAGCCGTGACACCATTTCTTAATACCTACCCACAGCCAGCCCGCGCAAATGATCTGCCTGGTATCGAATAGCTGCTTACTCCATTCCGCTCACTGATATGTTCGGGTATTCACATGCGCTGCACCACAATCTGGACGGCATTGTCACCACAGTATGTGGTGCGATTGGCGACGGCTCGTGCGATTGGTATTCGGGCGCTCCGTCGCCAACGATGCATCGGTGCTGGCATGAGCGTCGGATCGACGGTATAAATTACATTCCGTCAGCTCATCAGCGCTCAGCGCGGCGACAGCCAGATGGAGGAAATTCGGAAAGGAAGTCACGCGCTTCGTCAACGAGCGACCGACGAAAATGATGCATGCCCCGTGTCATGAGCCTTTGTCAGTGGACATCGCTGATGTGTTTTTTGTTTGATGTGTTGAGCTAATACAAGTCCATGTTTCCCCAAAGACTTTTATATGCGTCTTTGGTTCTACTGTTCATTATTTGGCTCAAAACCACCTGTAGGTTGCCCGCTGCAGTAACACCATTACGACTTTTCATTATGTGGGTGATTGGCGTAATGATCGTGTACGGCTCCATAATAGAAATCTACATCAACTTATCATTTAAAGGAAATAGTTCACTTTTTAACATGGGTTTTGAACTGGAATAGCAGTTCCGTAGCTTGGGCTGAGACGAGCATAAATCAGGAGCTTTTACAGCCCAACGATCACCCTAGGCAAAGATATTCTATTTCTCGTCCCGAAAAAGGTGTCTTGCGTTGAGGATGTGTGCCTTGCATATATTTCCATCCAGTATGAAAAGAGCATGGGTCCCGAAAATTCTTCAGAAACTAGAGAAATTATCTACGAGAACTCTAGAGAAATTCTCGTACTGATCAATTAGGACATTCAGGGGAACATTATCAGATCGAGCAGATCGCCCAAATGCCGGTGGCTGCGATAATTTCTCTGTTTCTGAAGAATTTTCGGGACCCATGCTCTTTTCATACTGGATCGCGTGTGCCTTACAGAAACTGAAAAGTTCTTCCTATATCAAAATATAGAAAAAAATCTTTTGTTATAAAAAGGTTTTATTTTCTTTGCTGATTATTTTGAACATAAAAAATAATAAATCGTTGCAAAAAAAAAAATTGTGAAAGTGAACTATTTCCTTTAAGGGCTACTATTGCGAGTAACCGAAGGTTTGTTGTCAATAGTTAAAACACTATTCTTTAGAATTGTGTTTTTCTATTGAAAAACAAATCTGAGTTCCCTGACAATTTGGCAAAAGCTGCCTGAGATCAGTATAGACTAGCTACATATTGGCGATTCATTTTTTTTCGAAGGATGCAAATTTTAGTCAAATGTGTATCGATCTACCTGTGTATGTAATCCGGAATGCGACTTACCTAAATTAAATCATAAATGTGACTTGCCTAAACATACAAAGTACAAAAGTGAAACAAAGTAAGTGAGGTGCCGTAAAAACACAGTTGACAACAAAAATACATTTTTTAAGTTAATGTATCTTTGTAATTTTCGGAGTTTTGTTCAATTCATATCACTGCATGCATATTTATCGACACAAACCTCGAAAACAAGGGATGAGGGCCTTGCAAAGAAAGTTTTCCATGCCATTAAATGCATGTGAAAGTACATAATCACTGCGGCTCAATTAGTGAATCTCATTTGGTGATAGTGAATCCATTTGTCTCGCGAGTTTTTTCGGCTGGGCTCCTCGGGTGCAGGAAATCGATATTGGCTGGACGCTGGGCTACATACGCGAGAACTGTAATTAGCTTGGTTGCCAGTGTGGAAGTAATGTCGATATATCGCCGACATGTGCTAATGTTCAGCTAAGACGAGCAGTGCGCGTGGAGAGAGTTGGGCTGTTCGCAGTGCGGTACCGCTGTGTGTCTTCTGAAAACAGGTAGATGTTCCTATTTCTCGGGTGAAGGTGGTTGAGGAACTAAACAAAAGATAGCAAAAAGATAAACAAAAACAAAACAAACAAAACAAAAGAGGATATAAACAAACAAGAAGGCTAAAGACTAAAGAGTGATCTTAAGCCCTTGATAAGTAGCTTTGGTAAAGAGCCAGTGATCTAATCAATGACTACATTTAGTGCAAAAAATACCTGATAATCTGGGATTTAATGCCCATTTTATTCATTTAATGTTACCTCAGGTATCATAAGTTACTATTACGAGTATTAGCTACGCATTATATTTCAGCATAATGAAAACATGCTCTTCGAGGTGCGAGTCTATTTCTGTTTGCATACGCCTTGCTCTCTCTCTCTCTCTCTCTCTCTCTCTCTCTCTCTCTCTCTCTCTCTCTCTCTCTCTCTCTCTCTCTCTCTCTCTCTCTCTCCCTCCGCCCCTCCTGTCCTCTCTCCCTCTCCCCCTCGCTCTCCTTCCCTCCCTTCCTCCCTCCCTCCCTCCCTCCCTCCCTCCCTCCCTCCCTCCCTCCCTCCCTCCCTTCCTTCCTTCCTTCCTTCCTTCCTTCCTTCCTTCCTTCCTTCCTTCCTTCCTTTCTTCCTTCCTACCTACTTTCCTCCCTCCCTCCCTTCCTCCCTCCCTTCCTCTCCCTCTCCCTTCCTTCTCCCTCTCCCTCTCCCTCTCCCCCTCCCTTCCTTCTCCCTCTCTCCCCCTCTCCCTCTCCCTTCCTTCTCCCCTCTCTCTCTCTCTCTCTCTCTCTCTCTCTCTCTCTCTTTCTCTCTGTCCCTCTCACCTCTCCATAGCCACGGCCATCAGGGTCAGCACGCTGGCCGACACGGTGAAGTTAGCGAAGAAGTTGTTGATGATGCAGTAGGTCAGGCCGAACGGCCAATCGGCGTTCACCATGTAGACGAAGTTGAACGTGCAGTTGAGACAGGACATGAGCAGGTTGGCCACGCTCAGGTTCACCAGGAAGTAGTTGGTGACGGTGCGCATGTGCCGATGACCTGCCGGGGGAAGGGGGACGAAATTTGGTTATTCGGGGGTGAGAAGAGGAGGCCGGTGAGTTAAAAATCAGAGTGATGGAAGAATATTGCTTGGGCCGGGGTTGGTGTGAGGCTAGTGGGTTTAAAATTACCGACATAGCATATATGTGTGGCAATCCCAGTGTGTATTTGACGCGACAGTGCTTGGATGGATAAGTTTTGTTGCAACTTTTTATCAAACATATTTACTTTTGTACCTACGTCAGATGTTCGGTGTGCAGTATTCGGGCTACTACATACTCAACATCTGTACTATCATACTTTGAAACCATATACTTCGGCGCTGCCAGGTTACCTTACTATAAGTTTTCCTTTGAACTCCAATTCAGCCAAGTTTTCTGCGTTACCAAGCACGTGACCCCGATGTGTGAGTTAGCGAAAGGCTGCGGCAAAAAAAAAAACGCTACTTTACTGAACCGAAACTTGCTGCTGTAAAGATCACGGGAGAACTTGAGGTCTAGGTATGTCGTCACTAATGGATTTTATTCAGCTTTCAACTTCAGCTTGTGCCCAATACATAGTTCACACGTCGACCAAGTTTTCCAGCCGTGGACTTGTATTTATTTAGTTGAGTTTTTCGTTTATTAGTTGCTGCTACAATGCTTTGATAAAGTTCTTCAACATTCGGCAGATTCAGGCCTACAGCTGAGTATCACTTATATTTCGAAATGAAATATGAATATAGGAGTCTCACATATATTTCGAAATGAATATAGTTTCTGAAAGGAGACTACTCGATCTTTTTTACCTATGAAACAGCTTTCTGAGACTCGAGACGTTTGTCATGCCGGCCTTTTACATTAACAGCTGACATGACATTAAAAATACGTACTGTTTGTGCAGATGGTGACAGTTCTCGACTTATTCGCTACTGTTGTACGCATCAACCTTTTTTCAATAACAACTGTGTGCCTTCTTGTTCATGAACAGCAATGCTGAAAAAACATACACCCAAGAATGCTTTCCTCCATTTACTTTGTGGTAGTTAATAAAATAGTATTAATTGCAACAGTGTAATCTAGCAAATATTGATGATGTTCTTTATACCAAATGACCCATTATGATTAATTATTCAATAACAAATGATCAATATAAAAATCAAACAAAATATCAACTTGTCAATTTTAACACCTTAACCCTCGCATGTGTGCGGCGTTTGCCAGCTTCTAATGTGTAGGGGGGGGGGGGGGTCGGTTGGACCCCCCCCCTTGCCGTTTGGCCCCTGATCGAGCTAGAGCTTCGCGGAAAAAACGAGCGTGTTGCCCGTGACGAGAGGAAGCCGATGATACCCAATTTTAAGGTCCTAGGTCATTGGTTGACCTTCCAGGTCAGGTCAATGACCCAAAGTCGGGAAAATCGGGACCTGTTAGAAAGTCGTAAAGTGTGGCTGCTAAGGGGTTTTTCGGGGTGCTGATCACGAATATCGTGTTAGTTTTGATCACAGATGATGTCTTGAAGCATTTAGACCAGGTCGGGTCAGGTCAGGTCAGGTCAACCAGTAGGCGTCGTGACGGGTATTCGTAGTACGTGTCAACCGCCTCTGACAGCTTCGTAACATGTTACGAAGTCACCAAAACTACTTCGTAAATGTTCAAATGGTTGCTAAATTCGAATTCAGCTCCAAAAACTAGCCTAGAAACATGTAAAACTCGAAAAAGTGACCCGAGGTCACCCGAGGTCACCAAAGGTCAATGACCTGACCTGACCTTCAGGTGACCTTGACACACACGGGAGTAACATCAAATCACATGTTTGAACGTTTGAAACCACGAAAAGCTTGCAAACACGCGTCTAGTGCGAGCCGACATACGCGAAATCGCGATTCCGGCCAAACATGGTCTCGGAAAAGAGGTCACAGGTCAAAGGTCATTTGGGTCAGGGTCATGAAATTTTCAGGGTAGGTGTCAAATTGATCAATGCGAGGGTACTGAAAGTTTCGTCGCGATCGGCCGCTTTTTACGCGAGTTATTCGCGAAAAACCATGGGGGGGGGGGTCCATCCGACCCCCCCCCCCCTACACATGCGAGGGTTAAAATACCAAATACCAATTTACATTAACACCATCAAATACCAAATGCCAACTTACCTAGTACGATCCAGCAGACGATGCTGTTTCCGCCGATGGCGATAACCAGCATCACGACAAACGCCACGGTCCACGACAGCGACGCCCACCAGGGCATGTCAAAGGAGCGCCCCTCGGCGGAGGCCCCGCCCCCCGTCGAGCACGCGCTCTCATTGGCCAGCGCGCAGGTGACATTGCCGAGGTCAGGACAGCAGCCGGCTGACAGCTCTGACGTCATCGCGGCGGTGGAAGCTGGAACATAGACGGAGGGGTGGAGGGTGGTCATAAATGTTTTAGGTAGGTAGATATACCTTGGAGACGGTTCAAAATTCGTATACCTGCGCGATATTTACTTTTAATGGTAGTATACCCTCTTTTTTGGTCGGATTTCTTGTCATTAACCCATTCGTTATCTTTATATTAGCTATTTAATCGACAAATATCACTCGGCATCCTCAATATGTATTAAACTGCATATAATTTGACATGTCTTGTCTAGGGGGTGTAGCGGAAGTTTAACCCTAGAACGCCTAGGGGGGGGGTTGTATCAACCCCCCCCCTGAGGTTTTTCGGAAATAGTGCAAAAACGGCGGCGCGCAGCGCCGCCAAATTTTGGGTACCTTATGGGGCAAACCTTGCGCATCTTTTGATAAAAAAAATTTGACCGGGTCATGTCAGGTCACGGAGTTATGACGTCACAAAGGGAACAGCCTCCGGCCGGATTTTCACAAACTGAGTGCCAACGCCCGAGGTTTCCTGCCGGTGGTACGGACATCGGTTGATGGATCGTGATGAAACTTCCCATGCATGTTGGGGCAAGTATTGGCTATCATATGGTATAAGAAACTTGACCGGGTCAGGTCAGGTCACGGAGCTATGACGTCACAAGAGGAACAGCGTCCGGTACTATTTTTGAAAAGCGCCCGAACCACTATTTTGCTAATTCTTGTCACCTCAATGGGAATATGCAGCAATATTAGCTTCTATAGGGAGCAAATGGGCATCCCAAATCCAAAAATACAATCAGATTTCAAAAATTTAAATTTTGATTTTTCGAATTTTTGCCGCCGACTGTGACCTTGCCGACTTCCGGCGCTCCCAACGCGCCATTTTTAGAGCTAGGGAAACGAAATACATACCAAACGATAGAGAATTGATCAAGGAACACGATAGTGAAGGTTTCAAGTCGATATCTCCCACCGTTTTGCCGCAATCGCCGCCGAAAGTTGAAAAAAGTCTATTTTTCCGAAAAATTGACCTTTGACCGGTCAAAAGTAGGTCAAATGTTGACCTAGGACCAAAAAATATACCACCAATCGCGAGATCTCGTTGAGAGCAATCCGTTGGTTTTTTCCGCTAAGCTCTACGACCTTCCGTTTCGAAACGCCAGGGGGGGGGTCGTAACAACCCCCCCCCTGGTCGTTCGTGTTATGAGAAATGGCCTGGTCGTGCGAGGGTTAAAATCCTCTGTAAGAACTTCAAAAGTCGTAGATTGATTTCTTCAGCGAACTTAATATTTCAAGAGGAAGAGTTGGAGGTTTTGTCGAGACGTTTCATAGCTACGTGTCTAGTCCGTACAAGAGTTAATTTGTGAAATAATTGTTTTCAGTTTTCATTTGATGACCCAAAACTTTGTTGAAGTTTTTCAGCAGCGTTCCAGCCATTGATACACAGCTAATGACAATTGTTTCGGAGAGTTGTAATGGGAAAAGTTTGAGGGAAAGCCAACTTCCGAATGGAGAGCATCACAATCCTCGAAACTGGGTAATTTTTCCATTATAGCGTGGTGGTTTCTGTCCCAGACACAGATGAGAAATGTAGCTCATTATTTTACTGATGGATGGAGGATGGAATGTATCACAAATTATTGGTATTCTAACTATTAAACCAATTGATCAAGTTAAAACTAGCGCGGAGAGGTCGATTTGTAATCATGTCATGCTTTTTTAGTGTAACATTGATACCAGTTTGTGAAACGGACACTGAAAATTCACAGCCCACTGCGCACCAGCCTGATTGACCCCAACTTTCAACATGACGGCTGACAATCCACCGCTCTAAAAGATGTGTAAATCTGCGGACAGCGACCTCAATATACCCTGCACCGGGCGACAACAATATACCCCCGTTTTTCAACCATTCTGACACGCGCCGACCGCTCCGGCCACAAATGGACCCAATTAGGAGGTGCCCGGCGTCAAGAAACGTGACCCACGTGCCCCGCTAAATGACGCGATCCTGCGGCCGAGAAAAAAGATGTGATAGCTGGGAGGAAAATATTACACTGAGCGGCAGAGCAAAACGCGGTGACTTTTTGGATTAGAGAATTGCGCTAATCTGGGATAGGACAAATGTACTGCTGACTGCACACTGAACGACTGAGAATAAGTGTGCCAAGCGTGAGTGAAAAATATTCTCAGGATGAAGATGTGTGCATCAAAATTGAGCGATAGCAAGCCCCGCTTATGTTTCTCCATGATATGGCTCCTATCTTCAGAAAATGCGGCTAGGTAGCTTGGTGAGGCCAACTCTGTCCTAGAAAAAAATAACGAGCGCACCTGAAATCTCTAATATCTCGCCGTGATGACTTTTCTAATGAAAGGAACGCTCCGCTGCTCATCGGCCAAACTTTTCACGTGGAAAATGAGCGCTGGAAGGTCTCCCGCCCGCACAAGCGACCCGGTCTGATCCGAGGGTCTCTTCTTCGGCTGCCCTGGGGGCGCAGCTGCGGACACCACGGGGTAATGGAGCTAGAAAGACGTGCTATATGTCGTCAGAGTGCCTGGGTAGTCCTGAGGGACGAGTCATGGAAGCATGGAGGCCTGCGACGGCATGTATGCTAACGTTAGCATGTATAAATACGGTGCTGGGGTTTGTGCTCCGTTTTGTTTAATTGACTTTGAGACACCGTTTCTAGAGAAGCATCTGCTTATTTATAATCCCTTGAGAGATGTAGATTGTAGAATAACAAAGAGGTGTTTCAATCAAAGGCCAATTCCTTTTAATTCTTGTAGTGCTCTTTGTATGTAAGGCATGTAGGTGATTGGTAAATTCCTTTTTAATGACCTCCTTACAAATTATTTATGTTTTCGATGTATTTAGCTTGATACAAATTTCGGCCACGGGCCTTGATCACATATCAGTTTAAACACAGACACGAAAAACACACAGACACCAATGCAGTTACAGTTTTGCCAGTTTTTTTCAGTTTCTGTACAACTTCGCGTGATAAAAAAGCACAATATACCTACAGTTCTAAGGAATATGTTGGATGGGCCCAATAAAAACGATCATAGACAACCTAATAGGTCATAAATTAACTTTAAATTCGTTTTCGTATTCGATTCATTTATCTACTTTTCAACGTTCACTCATGTACATTGAAATGCAATACATCGAAAACATAAATAATTTGTAAGGAGGTCATTAAAAAGGAATTTACCAAAGGCCAATTCAACTGAACCCCCTAAATATATCCAGGTCCGGAAAAGCACTTTAGACCAGAAACGTGTTTTGTTTAAATCATTTGTCGACTATTGCTATTCACTGTGTACACGACTTACGGCACCAAAGCGTCGCGTATTTCTCTGGTGACATTTCCCTGACCTTTCAGTAGTGTTGTTTCAGCAATGCCAGGTGACCTCATTCATTTTCGCCAGGCCGGATATGGTGGTTATGTTGACACCCGTGTTTGTAAATGTCTTAAAGTGGACGAAAAGTCAAAGTGGTTTATGGGAAATGAGATAAATTGTTCCATGTTCATTATATTCATTAACAGTCGAAGACATTTAGTGAAATAAAATGATATTTTACCGTTGCCTTCAATTTCCCCTGTGGTGATAGTTATCTCTTTAACCCTCGCACGACCAGGCCATTTCTCATAACACGAACGACCAGGGGGGGGGGGTTGTTACGACCCCCCCCTGGCGTTTCGAAACGGAAGGTCGTAGAGCTTAGCGGAAAAAACCAACGGATTGCTCTCAACAAGATCTCGCGATTGGTGGTATATTTTTTGGTCCTAGGTCAACATTTGACCTACTTATGACCGGTCAAAGGTCAAATTTTCCGAAAAAATCAAACTTTTTCAACTTTCCGCGGCGATTGCGGCAAAACGGTGGGAGATATCGACTTGAAACCTTCACTATCGTGTTCCTTGATCAATTCTCTATCGTTTGGTATGTATTTCGTTTCCCTAGCTCTAAAAATGGCGCGTTGGGAGCGCCGGAAGTCGGCAAGGTCACAGTCGGCGGCAGAAATTCGAAAAATCAAAATTTAAATTTTTGAAATCTGATTGTATTTTTGGATTTGGGAGGTCCATTTGCTCCCTATAGAAGCTAATATTGCTGCATATTCCCATTGAGGTGACAAGAATTAGCAAAATAGTGGTTCGGGCGCTTTTCAAAAATAGTACCGGACGCTGTTCCTCTTGTGACGTCATAGCTCCGTGACCTGACCTGACCCGGTCAAATTTCTTATACCACACGATAGCCAATGCTTGCCCCAACATGCATGGGAAGTTTCATCATGATCCATCAAACAATGTGGGTATCACCGGCAGAAAACCTAGGGATTCGGCGCACACGTTTGGTAACTGTCGGCCGGAGGCTGTACCTCTTATGACGTCATAACTCCGTGACCTGACATGACCCGATCAATTGTTTTTCGGCAAAAGATGCGCAAAGGTTGCCCCAGAGGGTATTGAAAATTTCAGCCCGCTACGACAAGCCGTTTAGCGTGCACTTCGAAAAAACCTCAGGGGGGGGGGGGGGGTGATACAACCCCCCCCCCCTAGGCGTTCTAGGGTTAAAAAGATCAGGTGTAAGAAGCTGTGTATTTCCCCACCCCACCCTAGATGACCCTAATGAATAAATGATCACTCTGATTTCTGAAGTCACAGCCAGAGTGTCACAGCCCCATCTGTATACTTTGTCACGTTCTCTTTATTTATTTTTTTTGCACCTTCCTCTGTACAGATACATCAGATGACATGTTTCTGGGAGCGTGAACTGACAGCTGAAAAAGCGGTGACTTTATCATCAGCTTTAGACGGTGATGGGCTAGATTTTCCGAGATTAAAAGTTAATACCACCGCTGCCCTGTGGCGAGGAAGTAATCGAACCAGCGAATGAAATCGACAATCGACAACAGTTCCGTGTATTTGGGGTAGAACAACGGCCAGAAAGTACATTGAAATGTCACGTAGTAGGGGAGACCCGGGAGGTATGGGCCGGTTTTATGAAAAGGCCATT